AGTAGTCTGCTATAGCATATTTAGTGGAAGTTTACTTGTAAACAGTAAACATAGTGCAGTGACAAATTATTATTATAAAAAGGGAAGATGTGATTTAATTTAAAATACGCTATACGCTAGCCAAGCGTGGACCACCGTATAGATGTATACGCAGACGTTTATACGGAATATATACGGTAGATATTTTTTGCATATATACATATAAATATATTATGTTTTAGTAGATAACAGAAAAAATATTATCATGAATTCTATAAAAAAAACTTAAATAATTAACATTAACACAGTAGTTTTAATTCAAATTGATATAGTTGAAAAATTGTTTTAGGTAACAAAAAAATATAACTATATCAATTATATTTTTGGAAAAAGTTAAAAACATAATTTTATTTGAAACTTTTGGAAAATATACGTGTCAAAATTGTATATTTGGTTATTTAGTTATCGTATACATAAATAATGTTTTTTTCATTTAAAAATACGTATAGCATAAATACGATACGGCAAATCATTGTATAAACGCCGTATACGCGGATGTCTGGACCGTAGTTTAAAACACTTAATGCGTGATTTAACGTATTAAAACAAACGCAAACGCAAATGTTACATAAGGAATTTGCCACCACATTATTATTTTCAATAGACCTCTCTATCATATTCTCTAACTTGCTAAAGATAATAGTTAATGTAACTATTCAAATCACTACAATATCACGTGATATCTTTTAAACAAGTCTTTCTTCAATCTATCACCAAATTTGAGGGTAAATTACTAAGAAAAGAACATCGCTAGCAAGTAGCATATCAAATTGATGACATATCAAATTGGGGATATTCTTATACGTCTGGAGAATGAAATTGAGTAAAATAAAAAAAGTCATATCTTATTCACAGTAATGTACAAAGGCCCAAAAGACCCAATCCATAGAATCTTCTTTAACCGCAAAGATTCTCCAAAGAGTTTCTACTTTACAAGTAAAACCATAAATCTAAAGGGTTTCTCACTTTCTCTAAAATCCGGATTCTACTTCTGGGTCGGTTCGGTTCCGACATTGATTGGTCGGAAATTTGGGAGTCTAATCGTGAATAGAGTGGTCGTGCCAACAGAGGAGCATGCAGACGCATCGTCGGAGGATGTAGAGACGAGTTCGTTGTTGTTTGGCCATCAATAAGCACCGATCTCCGAAGCTTCTTTTCCGGTTCGGTACTTTTGTCTGAGAAGAATTGGACATACACAAAAACTGATAAATTTTGGTTTTTTTTTTTTCTTTCTAATCGAATTTTGGTTCTAAAAGGAATTGGAAATGGAATTGAAAATGGTTCTGGTGATGTGAGAGAGTATAAATAGAACAGAGAATAAGAGAAAGGGGTAAGTGTGTGAAGTCGGACACGGCTGCTACGTGGTCCCAAGGCCACGC